CACTTTATTTTCCACCATAGTTTAATAAACACATTCGCTTTTTCCTTTCTTTGGTTCCCTCTCCATGCTCTGCTGCTGCTGCGTGCTGTCCTAATATACATGCTGTAATTGATGTAGCCTATTTGCTATCATACTTCCCAAACCTATATTTCTCCTTAATTGGCTCCAGTGTTGTAAATTTTAGGTTGTGCTCATTACCCCCATCTGCTTTTCTCTGACGTCAGTTTTCCCTGTGATGGATGTTTTTTTTTACCACTTTGTCGCTGTAGTGTCCCCACAGAGTTGATAAAGTTTTATTTCATTTAAAGAGTCATTGTTCGGCGTGCTGATGGATTTTCTTTCTGTGGGGGAAACTTTGTTATGACCTCACAACCCTTTAACTTTCCTCCACTGCCGCTCGATCAGCGCAACACACATCCAGCTGGTATTTCCTTCTTGCTTGTTATCAGGACCTGTATCATCAGTCATACGAGTCGGTGTGTATGATGTTCGCCTCCATCCCGGATTTCAAAGAGTTTTATACAGAGTCTGACGTCAATAAGGAAGGACTGGAGTGTCTCCGTCTTCTCAACGAGATCATAGCAGACTTTGATGAGGTAAACTCCTCGCCTATTGATAAGCCTGGCTGTGTGACGATGTTTTTCCTGCTGCTTTGATGAGAGGCAACTGACATCATATGTTGTTTTATGCTCCTCCTCATGTCCTGCTCTGTCCTCAGCTGCTGTCCAAGCCAAAGTTCAGCGGCGTGGAGAAAATAAAAACCATCGGTAGCACCTACATGGCTGCAACTGGACTCAATGTGACACCAGGACCAGAGTGCGCACAGGCATGCCTCTACACACAAGCACTCATTTTCATATGCGCACACAAAGACAAATGTGCACAGCCACACATATTTTAGTGTCTGGGGTCAAAGCTCCTGCTGTCAGCTGTACTTTGATTTGATTGCAAAAGACCAGAGCTGTTTTTCATGAGCGTCCCATTTCAGAGTGCCAGCACAGTTTTGGCAGCTCTGAGCTTGTATTCAGTAAATTTTTAATTTATGGTCACAAAACAGGACAAGGTATTTGTCACTGTCCAAAAACATTCAGAAGCTGCGTGTGGGTACCTCCGTAAAATTTGCTACATATACTATTGAAGCATAAGTGATTCATTACGACGCTCATCTGAATACATCAGTGTATTCACTGGCAGCAGTTGAGATAATCATTCATGAAAGTGGGAGAATATTGTGGTGTGAAAACAAATCTACTTCATTGATAGGAAATCTGCTTAATTCACCGTTCACCAAGTCCCACTCTCCCTAGTTACTGTTGCTATATCGTCAAGCTTTGGAGCACAACACATGACATATTTTTCAGTGATGACGTTGGCAGAATTATAACTTTACACTGATGATAATTTTTAAAACCAATGGGTCTTTGATTTCAATCAGGCTTCTTGTTCTAACTGTGGGATTTCATTGCCATGCAGGATGACAACTGTGACAGACTCTAATATTAGCTGTAGCTCGATAGCTACCTTATGAAATGGATCAATGGATTTTTTATTTTTTGGTTTTGCTTTATGGTTCATAAAACAGTGTGTGTCACATAGGGGGAATATTATGAATAAGAAACAAAGGTCGCTCTAACATGTTGTGCTGCCAGAGAGAAAATGAAGCAAAACATGGAAAATATTCTTTCAATTCTTGACACCTGTCACAGAGGATGAGCTCAAAAAGACTGACGTATGAAACATGGTAAATGTCTGAGATATTCAAAGTCTCAACAGTCAGTTGATCATTAGTCAATGTGAGCTCTCTACAGACGTCCTAACAAGACAGACATTTTCATAAGCAGCCAAATACTGTTTCATTGTCGGCCGTGCGAGGACGATGATAAAACTGCAGTCTGAATCAACTCATTATAATTGTGGTTGTAACAAGGTGATTTTTTATGTTGCACGGTGAAATCACTCACAAAGACACAGATGAGTTCATCTCATCACTGAGCATATTTCTTTCACTTTTCTTCTCACTAATGTCTGAGTGTGATGTGTTTATATGAATACTGTAATGATTATGGTCCAATATCAGTGTAGGTTGTTTGTAAGATGCTTAAGTGGACATGCTAACATTTACAGCCGACGATACTGCGTCCAGTAAACACACACTCCTTTCACACTGCACCTAAAACCCACTAATACACCAACATCTTGTTTTCAGTGTGAAAGAGTAAAAGCAACATTCAGAATACATCAGTGTATCCGCTGGCAGCAGTTGAGATAATCATTCAGGAAAGTGGGAGCATAGGTTTCCTGAGGTTGTCGCTCATGGTGATCATGCTCCTGTTTAGTCAAATTACTGCTTATTTGTCAGATATTGTCAGAGATACTGTTCAAATTGCTCCTTCAACATGTTTTATTTCTCCCTGCGTTTCCCCACAGGAACATGACAGACAATACATGCACATAGGCACAATGGTGGAGTTTGCTTTTGCTCTTGTTGGGAAACTCGACGTCATCAACAAACACTCCTTCAACGACTTCAGACTCAGAATTGGTGAGAACATTTTTTCCACACAAAGAGTATGACTCAGAGTCACTGATTATCCAGGATGTCATTTGTGATGTGTTTTTATTAGGGATAAACCACGGCCCAGTGATTGCAGGAGTTATCGGGGCCCAGAAACCTCAGTACGACATCTGGGGGAATAGTGTAAATGTGGCCAGTAGGATGGAGACCACCGGGGTCCTGGGAAAAATACAGGTGAGCTGTCTAATAAAACACAGGTGTGTGTCTGACAGTGTGTCAGTGAAGCAGTCACGTCTTTGTGTCCACACAGGTAACGGAGGAGACGAGTCTCATCTTATCAACGTTAGGATACATGTGTTCGTGTCGTGGCATCATCAATGTTAAGGGCAAAGGAGAGCTGAAGACCTTCTTTGTTCACACGGAGATGACCCGATCTCTGTCACAAGGGACTGTGATGCCCTGAGTAACCCAACAAATAGTCACACACACACACACACACACACACACACACACACACACTTATACAAACACAAAGTGGCCGTAGAAGTGATTTGTCATGCGCTGTAACTAAAGTCCATTACCAGCAGCCTGCAGTGCCCTGGATACACAATTGTCGAAAACCACTTTTATCCTTAGCACCACGTCGTAGAACAGGACGGAGGTTTACCGCCAAGGTCCTTCAATGCCTCGTTTCCACATCTCAAGTGTAACAAGGACTTTGCTCTGAGGAGTCTGTTCTCTTAAGGGAGTGCCTGACTAAAGAGAGGCTCTCAAGGACTGCAGTCGCCCATCTGTACTATAGTCGTGGTGTGGGGCTCATTAGATTAGCCATGCCAGTGTTGCAGTGCAAACTGAGCTGTCTGCAAAGCTGTTTTTTAAATATATATATATGTATATTTATATACATATATATATATGGCTCTTTGGCACTGTGAGCTAGTTTTCTTCCATTTTATTCCAAGTGGATGTGACAATAGTTTATTGTTGTGTAGAGCAGCTGATGCCAACAGTTTGCCAGCATGATGGGTAGTTTGCCAGAACCTGTGAATTGTATTTAAAGATTTCAAGCTGCGTCCGTGTTCCACTGACGAGGAAGGTGGACTCAGGCAAAGGATTCAAGAGGAAAGTAGAGGTTTCCTTTTTTTACAATCCATCTGGAACCAAACAAACAGCGACGTGTGTACATGTTCACTGCCATTCTTTTGTTATTCATTAAACATTTGTATATAATGTCTTTGTGTCTGCGCTTTCAATACAAATGCAACATGGTGATGAGATGAGAACACTTAATCTGTTAGCTAAGCGAAAATACTTCATGACTAAGATTTGGAGGTTCTGTGAGCAGGGTTGACTGACATTTAGAAGATTGATTTTAAAACAATCTGTGTTTATGTCCTAAATATTCACAACACCTTAGTGAGTTTTTTCACAACAATCTGAGTTGTGGCGGTAAAATACAATTTAAACATGGTCATTCATCATGCTTTTAGCCTAAAAGTGCAAATAGTAAAGTGTAAAATAAACATTCAAACATTTCCACCAGCCTTGTATAATATATGTAATATAATCTTGCGACAATGAGGTAATTACTGGCACAGAAAATGTGCAGAGTAGCATCCGCAGTGTTTTTTTGCCACTGAGGTCACTATATAGTCCTCTCCATACAAGTCCTTAAGTAGTGTGTCGGGGTTAGTGAATGAGAGGGTGTACAGGTCCCAGCCGGGATGTGTGAGTCCAGGTGATTGAGAAAATGACGAACAGGTGAGCAAGTGAATGTGTAGAGAGAAAGAATGAGGATGAATCAGCTGTGTGAGCTGTGAGACACATTTTGCACATTAGCTCCTAATTCTAATAAATAAACAGCAAACAAATTGAATTACTGCGTCCTGTCTGAGACTAAAAGGTCTTATCTGCCGGAGTACAAAGCACAGGCTAATGAGAGAAGTCCCAAAAACATTCCTATTATGTAGGAGGTTGGTCTCAGCTGTGTGGGTTTGGAACTGAAAACACAAAAAGAATCAAAAAAAGTTGCAAATCAAAGAGGAAAGTGAAGCACAAAAATAAGAGTATTTACATAAGAGAACGGAGGAGAGATCAACCATGAGGAACGTACTGAGGCATGAATATGAAACTGTGGCTTTTGCAGTTTATGTAAATGTATCTCTGTTCCTATGAATCTTTTCCCCTTATTATTTCTGTTTATTAATTAGAGCTAAAGTTTTCTTAAGGAAAGTGGTAAAAAAGTTTGTTCCAACAAATGTTCTCTCATGAATGTTCTCCCATGAATGTTCAGTGTTTCAACCACATCAGTTAACGTCAGTTTAGCAAAGTCAAGATGTTGCTGTTGTTCAGGACGTTCAGTTTCTTACAGAAACCATCACACTGACGGTGGGAAGTCAACGTTATTTGTCATTTTTGCTGCAGTACCTGGAGAACATGTTCTGATTCTTGGGAAGTGTCTCTTATTTAACATAACACAAAGATACATGGTCTCAGACTTTTATTTCAAATACGGACTGATCACATCAAGTGAAATCTACACTTTGAATACATTGATATAATTCAGGTTTTTAGATGGGGGCCACTGAACCGTATCCCTCCGCCACATTCCAGATAATCCCATTTTTCATGAAGAACTCAGCTCTAATGCAGGCCACACGTGCGTACTGACGGTCCGTCTCATCGAGGGCGGGAATGGAACCACGGCCGTATTCTGAAGAGGAGAGCACCGGCACGGCTCTGGACTTCTCCTAGGAGTGAGAAGGACAACAAGGCCACGAGATGCTGAGTAAATATTAAAGCTGTGATTTTGAATAGTGCAATTTAATAGGTTCTACGTCATGTTAACGATAAAACTTATTTTCCAGAGGAAAATCACTGGTTTTAGTAATAACAATAGTGATTAATACATTCCAGTTAGATGTGTCATTTCCAAGTATTGTGCACGTCCACTCACTGGCCTGTGCTAATGGAAAAGAGCCATTAACAGAATTCGTTCCACTTGTACTTAAAGGCCTATTGAATTTTTATGACCATGATTGAGGATCAAATTGCAAACATTATCAACATAATAACATGAATCAATTTGAGAACCTCGTGCCAACGATCACAACAGTACCTTTGTGTGTTAGAGTGTGAAATGAATTAGGCGTTATGATGCGGCTGCATATGTGCATAGCATTCTGTAGAAACAAACTATGATTCTATATATATATATATCCACTGTATACATATACTATAGCTTTGATACCTGATCATAAAATGTCATAAAAACCTGATCATTATAGTTGAAACAAAGACTTTGCTAGAACTGAGATTTCTCTTTAAATTCTAATTACCATTAATTGAGTCTTTTCATTGTTATTAAGTGTAGTGGGATGCATCATTGCCAGAAATGAAAACAGTCCCAACAAATGAAACTAGTAGCTGCACCATTTTTTGGAAAAACTTAGCAGCAAAGTGTCTCTGAGCATTTGAACAGACTTTGGAAAACTGATAGCCTCTGAATTCTCTAAGTACCTGCTCCCGGCTGCAATCAATTTCACTGATGGGTTAAAAATAACAACCACCATTGTTATTTTAACAGAAACAGAAACCTCCTAAGTCAGAGCTCAGCCAGAGCTCTGTGTGCGTGTGTGTGTGTGTGTGTGTGTGTGTGCATGCGCACGGCTGCTTTGTTCAGCACCTGCTGTGCTTTCAGTGACCCAGAAACTCCAATCAAGCTAGATTTCCTGACATGGGTAATTATTCAGCAGAGATAAGAAAGATGGCGTAAACGTAAAAGACATGTGATAGCCACCACATGGTAAAAAAAAACATGCAGTGGCTCATTCGAAATATGGAGCATCTTTAAATATATTATTGTAAGAAGATTCTGACGTTTCCAGCTGTAAAAAACTCGAAAACGCATCACTGCCTGTTTCATGTAAAGCTCAGAAAGTTATGTGTTTGTGAGAATAAGCAGAACCCTCTGCTGGTTTTCAGGAAACATATATGATGATAAATTGTATGTCAATAAAACAGTTTATTGTATTGACATCCAATGTATATTCAAGCCTGCATGGGATGTTTAGTGAATTAGTTCCTGTTGAGCCATTATGTTTTTGAGTTTTAAAATCTAATATATACGAACAGGGATAGGTGCCTGCTTAAAATATTGCTGATAGTAAGAATGCACTCACAAGAAAATAGGGTTGGTTCCCAGCCAAGAAAAAGTGGATAGAGATTGTAGAGAAAATTGGAAATGTAAAAATGGACACATCACCTGAGGCTACAAGACAGACAGCTGGAAGAGAAGCAGGAGAAAGGAACATTATTCAGAACCAAGAACAGTGACAAGGACTGTAATCTTAGATTAGTTGATAAAAACTGAGAGAATGGATGGAAGGAGGTGTAACACCAAAAACAGCTGTCTCGTTTGTTCTATATGATCACGTAGTATATACTGTATATATACTGTAGTAATATATAGTTTATATGTTGAAAATATCAATTCAAGTTTTTAAAATGTTTAAAATACAGTGAATGACAGAATAAATGTAATTCCAAGACAAACATCTTTGAATAATGGCCCATGACAAAAAGCAGATGTATGTTCAGTCAGCAAAGACAGGTACAGCTCCACCTTTATGGATTTTTGGATTTGCTGCTATAAGGAACTAACATGTTCAATACAGAAGTTGTACATGTGTTGAAGTTGAAAAAGTTTGGCAAGGATTCTTAAGATGTTATTATCAAACCCTTATCGCCAAGATATGTACCTGAGGCTTGATGTGTTATAGTTTAACCATCAACTTTATAAAGTATATAAATATAAATAAAAGAAAATCTAAATTATGACTGAATATATAGAGATATAATTTAGAAAATAAAGACACATTTTGTGTCAAATTAAAAAAGAAATGCACATTTTTACTGATTGTTGCTCCCAACACTGTATATCTGTGACAGACTCATATCAGCAGATTCTTTTACCCAAACGATAAATCTACTTATGTGTGGTCACTACCTCCTTGTTTATGTCCAGTCCTCTTCCTTTGGAGTGTTTCCTGTCGTCTCGGTGCAGTTTCATATCATAACCCTCAGCCTGGTGGTACACTCGGTCATACATGGAGATTTCAGGGACCTGCAGGGGGGAGACAGAACAAGTGTTTGGCATCATAAGCCTGTCCTCGCAAGAAGTCATCACTGCTACTTTGGGTAACAGCCCCTGCATGTTACAGTAGGTGACACTGAAAGCAACAACCACAGAAATCATGTCTCAGGACCATAAATGTCTCACATGCTCAGAGTATATGAAGCAGAGCAACACTGTAGGTCCTCTGGTGTGAGTCTGTCGGCTGCTCCACAGAACAGGATTAGAACTTTTAGTGAGGACGCTGTTAGTGTTTCTGTCTGAGGACCTGGGAGCAGAAAGACTGAAATCTTTAAACATAAGCTACAAATCTATCTCTTCACATAAGCATGATTTATAGACAGTATTTTATTTTATTCACTTATTTTATTGCATTTATTTAACCTGTCTGTTATTATTATTATTATTATTATTATTACATGCTTTTATTCCTCTTAAATGTTTTTTTTCCTTTTAGAAGTATATAGTATACTGTTGTATATTCCAGTATATTTACATTTCAGGACTCAATGCTACAAATAAGACAGATAGCATGAAGTTAGCCACTTTCCCCTTGTCTGAAGCACACAACTCTAAAAATTATAATGATAATATAGTAGTTGTTTATTTAAAAAGCAATATGCACACCTTAGCAGAGCATTACATGTTTTATTATCTAATAGACCCATTTACGTTTCATAAATATGAAGTGAAAAAATGTGAATGAATATCAATAATCATCATAATAATAATTACAATCATTATTATTATTATTATTAGTAGTAGTAGTAGTAATGTATTATTATTATTTTGTTGTTGTTGTGTAGACTAGGTGCACCTAGTATCTCTTGTGATATTGTCCCAACATCATTGTACATCATTATGAATCTAAATTGTTAAGCCAGGCAGCGTTAGCTCAGCTAGCTGTAGCTCCGCTGTGAGCAGCTGCAGCAGCGTCACCTTCGACTCCTGGTGAAAGTACGACATGTCCTTCGGTTGTGTGCGTCGAGGCGGGACGTAGCTGAAGGCGGACAGGGTGGACAGAGGTCTGCTCTGAGCCTGGAGGGACACGTCCATCTCCACAGTGACCTCGGTGCGATGCTCGGAGAGGTGGCGTCTGTGTGGTTGCTAGGATACCGAGGATACCCTCCCTACGTCATATCTGGTGTGATGCCTTCACTCGACCCTTGTTTTCCGGGATTTCAGAGCTTCAGAGCTACTTTACATGCTACCTGAGGTTCCCTCTCCTACAAAATACATGTTTTGTAGTGGCTGGTGCAATTAAATAATAGTGTGACCCATTCAGATGTATGGTGTCTGTATATATATATATATATATTTTATATACAGTCTGTGGTGTCACCAAACTGTCAGTGAAAATATAATATGTTCCCATGCTACTTCTTGACCCTGAATATATTTTCTAGATTTGTTTCCTGCATTTCTTTATTACCATTAAAGTTTTAATTGACAATTTACTATAAGACCAGTTTGTATTCAGCACTAATGCACTGTTGCAGGAGAAATTATTATTGCTATTATTAGTATTAGTAATATCGATACGTCTTCCATTTTTTTTACACTTGACATTCAATTAGATGTTTGGGCAAACAGCACTTTATATTTTAAAGTATTTAATGTTTTGTTTTTAATTGCCACAGTTCAACGTTTACTTAATTTGTATGTACTGGTACTATACCATGTTTTGTAATGTTTTAGAAATTTTACTTCTTTCACTGATTAAAAGCCTCCTGTTATTCAAAGAGCATTGAATGTTCTGTTAGTTGATACCGTGCACAATTAATTTACTGCAACAAGACTACTCGCCCCTGCACAGTTGCAACCAGTGTCTGTCTTTGCACTAATATACTTGTCCCTTTGAGTATCTTTGACAATCTGCAGTGTAGCTCTGATAGCAAGATCGATTTATGACACAGGACAGACTATGCCTCCAGCACGTCATTCAGTTAAGGGTGACAAGAAAGGTCCAGTTGCCGAGGCGTCAGATAAAGTATAAGTAGTCTTTCATTGCCTTTCAGCAGATCGTACAGATGCAAATAGTGTAGCAGCAGTTCATGTTAACAAGGAGGAAACAGAAAAAGACAAAACATGCTGTGTTTTGTCTTTTGGCTTATTGGGTTGTGGGTTATTTGTTTTTGCCAGGAAGCACAACAGTGGATCGACATCACACACCTGCACAGTAAATATGAAGTGGCAAACATATACAGTGAAGTATGTTGGATAGAAAGGACTAACACATGAAAATGCAAATATATGTATGTGCCTAGTGCCTCCCAAATAAGTTTGTGCATCTTCCACAGCAGTAAATTGAAGGTGTAGTCTTCAACTGTGACATAATGAAACACCTTATTTTCCTGTGTGTGTGTGTGTGTGTGTGTGTGTGTGTGTGTGTGTGCTTGCGTCCCACCAGCTGTTGATGTTTGCTCCTTCCACTAATTACGACAGTGCAGCAGGGGGTGGCCAGTGGGAAGACACCATTCACACTCACATTGTGCATTGAGCTGGCCAAGACCATAACACACACACACACACACACACACACACAGAACCACTATAGAAAGCTCTGAACCTCAAAGCGATCATGGAGCCCAGATTTTGATGCGGCTGCCAACGATTCAGTGATTGGGGATATGTGGACAAAGAGAGAGAGAGAGGAGACAGAGCATTGATCAGGATTTTCGAGGTTGTCCCAGCACACAGGAGTAATTACAGCTGACATTTCAGAGGGATATGTTGCTATCTGGCAGGAGTCACTGTGGGAATGAAACCTCCTGAAGGCAGGGGGTCAGCTGTTCAATGGTCCAGAGTTATTAAAGGGAACTACGAATGTTACCGAGCCTTGTTCTCATTTGTACATTTTTACACTGCTTCACATCATGCACATGTTTTTTTATCAGTCAAAGTAGCACAGTCCTCATCAGCATGAAGCCAGACACACCGTTTTAAGTCAATCGAATTAAAGCAAAGTGAATAAGGTCTTTAGCAATGAATTAAATATCTTTGTCTGAGGGGTTTGATGTTAATTGGTAAACTGTTCCAGAGATTAGACAGATCCACTGTAAAGGCCCAGTCACCTCTATTTTCCTCTGTGCTGGGGATGGAGTATGAAGATGCAACATTCTGATTGAATAAAGTGGAGTCTGTCAATTTGAAATCTTAAACAAAAGCAATACAATCCTAAAATAAATCTTGAATTTGATAGTAAGCCATTGAAGAGAGGCCAGTACTGGTGTAATGTGGCCACACTTTATTTTTCCAGTGAAAATTTTACATGTTCATTACTGGATAAGGGCAGGCTGCTCACAGAAAGTTGATTAACTCATCCAGAACTCATCCATGTACAAACTATATAAATATTAAAGGTAATCGATACTGCATTTACCTCATCTTTACATCAGCCTTCTTATTATGAGACTGGAAGAACACTGCCCCCCTGTGACCACATCCAGTGAATGCAAAATGTTGTAACACCTTCATTGATTTTTAATATTCGCTTATTGATGCATCTAATTTCCCTGTCCAGTCAATGTGGGGGAGCTTCAACTATAAATGTTATGAACTGAATATAATTGTTCTCCTAATCCCATCTTCAGTGCTTGCTCACAATAATAATAATAATAATATGAATGTGAAAGCTGTGGACCTGTAAGTGTGGTCCAAGTATTACGGATTTATTTACAAAGTCACATTATGGGGAGCTGTGTTCTTTCTGGGGACAAAAAGAAGTCATTACATTTTTAAGTAAAGACGTTGTTGTTAGGTTAGGTTTAGGTTAAAGTTAGGCAAGAAACCATGGTTAAGATTGGAGTCAGTCTCCAGGAAATCAGTTTAAGTCAATGTAATGTCCTCTGAAGTCAAGGAGACTTCCCTTACCTTTTTCCTTTCTTCCATCATAAACATTCTTTGGATGAAAACAACTAAATGAGTCAAAAGAAAAAAATGAGTTGTGAAATAACAAATGTCAAAATAACGAATCCAAATTTTTTAAATAAAAAACCCCAATTGTAACTGAAAATGTAAAATTACTTACAATACAGCTGAGAACAGAAAAATAAAGAAAACATTCCAAGACACCAAGAAAACACAAGAGAAACTATTGATGAAAAATAAATCCCATTCTGTAAGTTAAAACAACTGAGCTACAGAATAAATACACTGTCAACTTCTCTAATTGTCAAAGCTGAAAGTCTTGTGTGGTGGTTTTTTTGAGACATAACTCTTTGGTTTGAACGTTTCACTGTACAAATACACACAAGAGAGAGCCTCATCCAGACTGTGTAGCTAGGCAACATTAGCTGGAGCGCTGTTTTAAATTGCAACGTCCTGGGAGTTTTGCAGTCAATGTAATGTCCTCTGAAGTCAAGGAGACTTTGCTTACCTTTTTTCTTTTTTCCATCATAAACGTACTTTGGATAAGAACAACTAAAGGAGTCAAGATGATCAAAATTCAAAGTAAAAACATGACTTGTGAAATGCCAAATGTTAAAATAACTAATTATTGGAACTGAAAATGTAAAATGTTAAGATAACAGTAAAATGTGTCAAATAGCAAAAATGCAAGCAAAATTAAAAGCCTTAATTAATGCAGTACATCAAATTCCATTAAAAGCAAATGAATCACTTAAAACAAATGAATCAATTAAAATAAATATATCAAAAAAACAAGAACAGCTGGGGGCAAAATAGAGGGAGATGAAAAACTTGGATGATGAGAAGTAAAACTGTTGGCAGCTGCAGTGTAATTCAGTAATATGAGCGTGTTGGATGAGAACCCACATTAAAAGGCAGCAGTGAGGTGAAGTAAGGGGTAAAAGATCAGTAAGCAACTTATACATAAATAAACCCAATGTGTTTCTGGCCTAACAGAGAGAGAGAGGACCATCCAACCTGACACTTTGACACTTTAACTTCCTGTGGCAAGTAACGGACTAACTGTAGTGTTTACTTACTTATTGTGTTTTTTATATTTCATTTTTTTTTTTATATTTTTATATTCTTACTTGCAAAAAACACCACAGCAAATTCCTTGTATGTGTAAACCTGCTTGGCAATAATTACGGTACACGATGCACTTGATTTAACCAGCAGATAACAGCGAGGTTACTGAACTGATCCTCTAATAACAATGCATCCTTGCAGGGGTTGCCTACAGACACTGCCAGCAGCCTGAAGCTGTGTGCTTTTGATTTACACGTGAAATAATTATGAACATCCAAGCTTTTCAAATTCAAATCACCTGCACTACCATGCATGTTATTTAAATATTAATGGTTTGTCACGCATTTGTTTTTTTTTTTATTTGGTAATGTTTGAATGTCGGGGCTTACAGACACCAAAGGAGCAGTATGGTGTTATTTTATGTTTTTTTATGTTTGGAAAGTTGATCTCCAGTTTCTTCAATTGTATTGGATTTGGCTGAAACGGTGTTCACCCCTGAAACTCCAGAAGTGTTTTGTGGACTCGAACACTTCACCCAACCCTCCATCGGCATAGTGGTGAGTAGATCATGAGTGAATTTTCATTTTTCTGTGAACTATCCCTTTAAGGTGGTCACAAGTTTAGAAATGAACTCAAGGAGGTGCTGTGTTTTGTCAGATGCACCAAAGAAAAGGTAGATTGAGAGCAAACTGATGGTAGAAGTAATGCTGATCATAGTCTGTATATTCTCAGTGGAGGGAGGCGTCAGTTCCAATGCAAACCAGCAGATGGCAGTACTCGCACAGCTCAGATCACAAAGGAACAAGCCATGGAAGCTTTAAGTGAACCACAACATCAAACCCTCTGTGTGTTGGAGTCTTTACCAGGCTCAGTATCAAAGTGTGAATAGCTCACAATCAAACACATTTAATCAAACACGGAAGAAACTATTGGTGATACACAAATCGCGGTCTGTAAGTTAAAACAACTGGGCTACAGAATAAATACACTGTCAACTTCTCTTAATTGTCAAAGCTGAAAGTCTTTATTTGCCCTGTTATTATCTGTGTGTGGTGGTTTTTGATCCATGACTCACTGGTGTGAACGTTTCACTGTACACACACACACACACGCACGCGCGCGCACGCACACTTTGATGACCCACAGTCTGCTCGTTTCCGAAAGCTCACGGAGATTCACCGAGCAGCGACCCGGCCCCTCCCGGCCCCCTCCTCCGCGCTACAGCGACTCTCCCCTCGGCTCCACTCCGAGGAGGAACCCGGTGCCCCTGGCCGACCGCTTCCAGTTACGTTGCCCCCAAGATGGAGGTCTGCAGATGGCACTGCTAGCGTTCACCCGCCGCCGCGACCGTCCGTGTGTCTTCGATGACGCTTTCGTCGGGACAGAAGTGATTTGGTGCCATCTTTTTGTCGATTTTCTGGGGGATTTACTCGGGAGATATTGAGCTCCGGGCGCGGGTCGAGGCAGCCATGAGCTCCGGGGAAGGAGCGGAGGAGACGACGAAGGACGCCAGCGACATAACGCCGTATTTGAAGAGCGGTAAGCCCCGAAAATAAGTGGGAGAGGTCGGACTGAAGCTCCGCTGGGAGCTGCTCCTTCTGGTCCAGCTACGTGAGGGACATTGTTCCCGTATGTGTAGTGTGTTTGGAGGCTCAGACACTTACACATGGGGTCGGTTTTAGCTGATTAATTCCATAATGGTTGTCACAAATGAGGTGAAAGACAAACGACAGTGACCAGGACAGTTGTTGAAACGTGTGTAAATTGTTTTGTTGGATGTATTTCAGAAAATACACGAGAGAGAGACCCATCCAGACTGTGTAGCTAGGCAACGTTAGCTAGAGCGCTAATTAGCCGTGTTCCATTTTCGGACAAATCTCTGAGATGTGGCAGGGCTTGGTTGGTTTCCCTTGTGCTTTGTTTTAAAATGCACCGTCCTGGGAGTTTCTACCGAGTGTCACGTTAGCACCACTGTCTGCTGTCAAAACGTGAATGTGACATTCACGCCAGAACCAGCAAACGCGAGGAGGAAGGCAACACACAAGATCCCTTCATGCTCGTTCTCCGTCCAGCTAAAGCCACAGGCACCTGGATCAAAACGACTGTTCCATCATCACAAGCACACTGTCAAAGTTCCACACATGTGATGTGATGTTGTTCGAACCGAGACAAGTTTGTGCCTGAAAGAAGCAGATCGGGGCTGTCCGATAATGGACCTTGCGTGTTAACTAACTCCCTCTCTACATTAGCTTGCAATGTTAGCCTGGAAGCTAGTGAATCCTGAATCAGATTTGGTGAATCCTGTCTGCTAACGAGCGCTAGCTAGTGTAGCATTACTAGCTCGCCAGTGAGCAGACAAAGCTGTCGTGTGTCTGAACAGCTGATTGTTGTGTAAAGTACACACACAACTACCGTCCGTGTGTGTTTAAATCCACTTCTCCGCAAACTCGGTCAGAAAATGTGGCACAACCGTGCAAGCTATGTAAACAATACATGGCGTGGGACATATAGCCAGGGTGTGCACTGTGCAGGATAAGCTAGCTGAGTAACACAGCCATCAAGGCCAAAAAGGCTGCTGTTTTTATCAGTATCACGATCAGCTGGTAAAATAAATCCTAATAATCGAGGAGAATAATCGATTTAATCACACACAACTGATCTGTTAGCTAGTCGACATGGTTAGATGCTAACCAGCTGTATGTGCAGATTGCTAACCTTAGCTAAGTAGGCAGATTTATCAGCAGGGACTGAGACTGAAGTCCCAACACGGGCCTACGGTGATTTCATAACAATGGCTCATAAACGGTGAAGTCCTGGGATCTTAGCACAGCTGCAGACATACAGTTAGGTTTTATTTTGCACAGCTGACATTGCATGTGAAAGCAAGTATTGAGATTGCTTGATTTTCATGCCTCTACCAAATGTACAGTATGAACATTTCACAGTTCGTATGTACATCAACAGGGGAGTTTTCTGTGATACAGTGAGTATTTCTCATTCAACGGGCAAAGGCCTGTGTGTTTGTGGGTCCCTGACATGAACAAAGCTGATGAGCCTGTGGGCAGCACTTGGATGTGCCAGATAAGCCTGCAGCTCTGTTCACTGACTGCAGGCAATGAATTTGATCAAATGCCTGATGTCATGTCTGCCCCACTTGCTTTGTTGGCTCAGAGATTACTGCTTATGTATGTGTTATAATCAAGTTTCTCCATTTACTGATAGCTGCTCTTTATAGGGAGAGTTACACGTACATGTTTCCTGGTGGAACGTTAATATGTGTGTGATACTAAAATAATAAATGGTGGCATGTAAAGAGAAAAACAAGAAATGCAAGTCTCTGACTGTTCTAACACACTGTCATGTTGAAAATTATTGTGGCAGAACTGATATGATTTTGAAGTGCAGTTCGGGGTGTAAACAAGGACGAGAATGCAGAGTATTGATATCAAGCTTCTGGCTCCTGTGGTTTTGTGTCTCGCAAGATAATAAGCCACAGAGGGAAGTTCAGTATTCGTATTGAGCCGATCTGAAGGTTTCCTCTTCGGGGGAGAGAGGTATCCTGTAACTCACTTGCAACCCCACTTTGTGTGTGTTTTTGTTGACGCTGCACAGCTGCAGCTATTCTGCTTCATTGCTAATCGGATCTGTTGTGATCTGTTGTAGTATTTAACATTTTTTGATATGTCTCCCATTGTTATTACCGCTGCATCTTAGTTTGTCTAACAGAAATAGCTTTTTACTTACATTTCTGAAACCAACATATTAACTCTATTTGTTGACAGATAATTAGTTTCTGTTTAAGCAGCAGTAGAAAATGTGGATGAAATGAAAACAAATCTTTGTCTGTCGAGGACACAAACACAGTTGAAGGATCCTGATTGAGCATTTCCTGTCAGTGGTAGTAATAAATCACGAGATTTAAAATTTGATCACATCTTTTTCAAACAAATACAATTAAAATTTTTGGCCAGTCTGTACTCTGAAGCATTCTTGGTTATCACAGTGCTGCTCCTGGCTACATCCAAGCAGTAGCTCACATCACGAGAATCCTTCGCCCAATCCCTACTTTCTCTAATGTTAACTACAGTCTTAAAACAAATTTGACATTTACCCAAGCTGTTTTTTGAATACTAGTTGCTACACATTGTCTACTGGAAGTGAACAACAATTATTGACAGCGTGCTATTGACAACATGAGATTATCAAGGTGGTAATCTTTGTCTGAGAATGCAAATGTCCAAGTCAGTTGCTGTGGATATTCTTCAAGAGTTTCTCCTGCCAGCCCCATAGTTAAAACTCTCCATAATGTCCAACTGAGCCCATGCGAGCAGGAGATTATCCCGAGGTTTCAGCATGAGTGAGGAGTTGTGTCGATGTCGTTTCTAACACGGGACAGACATAAAACTGACAAAAACAAAAAGAATACAAATGCCTCAGGGTGAAAACGAGGAGTCCTACAAGTAGCAGACACAGACAAAGATGTCTGTCATTGTAAATGCATCTGACTGAATTGTGTGTCACTGAATCTGTCTTCAGACAGGACCTCTCAGCAAAATCCAGAGAACTGGCTCCAGAGTTAACTTTTTCACTGGGAGTTATTTGTTTTCTTTTTGTTCTTTTCATTTTTGCATCTGTTGCGTGTCCAGTGGGGAATCCAATGCTATGTTCTCAAATTGACTTCTCTTGGATTTGTATGTTTTTTAGACTAGTAAGCCAGGTGGATAAAGTCCATAGAAACTGCAGAGCGTCTCAATCGGACATTTGTGTTGACACATGCACCTCCTCCCGAGAAAATACAGAGTCCAGTGCATGTCTGAAAGCAGCTTGATTGTGCTTCCGTCACAAACGTGAGGTGCTGTCTGTAGTCGTTGTTAGATGCTGCTACAGTGTTGTTCTACCCCCCACAGAGTTCGTGGCACTGAACACAGCAGGACAGTGATTGACAAGACCACCTCCTGCATGAGATAATGAGGCCTATAGGCAAGATATTTACTGTAAATGTGGGATTGGGTTCGTTCTGAAAGTGATCAGATTTTTGTCTCCAAACAATGTGTAGCTACTGGGGTCACAGAAATGCTTCTAATAACACATTTTGAGCATAGTTTCCACTTCATACTGTACATAATCATTAGTTTAGTTAATCGTTAGCTCAACCCGAATTAGCTCAAGAACAGTTCTAAGTGGAGCATCCCAATTCTGAATCAGTCATCTCAGTAGTGAAACCACTGTCAGCCTAACTTTAGATGGCCTACCATTGGCTTTGTATGATATGCCTGTTGTGAGGCTTGAGTGTCACGTTCGGCCGCCCTCCTCTTTGTTTTGCTTGAGAACTTCCTCATAGATCTGGGAATCTTGTTCCGACATGCACAGGTTTGAGTGTCTTGCCACAGGCCACGTTCTCCCCCCCCTCAATCCCCAGCTCCATCCTCATCTCTTTTTCCATCCTTCGGCATTGGCCTCTTTGTCTTTCTAATGTCCTCCTTCTTAACTTTCTTCGCTGTTCTCTGTCTGCCGTCTGAGGATTGATTCGCCAATGTCTGTTTCGTGTTTTCCTCCCTCCCTTGTTCTTGTTGCATCATGTTGAGCATTTCTGTCCTGATGCAAAATGACAACTAAAAAAAAAAGCTTCCCATCTCTCTCCCCCTCTCTCCCCCCCTGTCATCCAGACTGGAATTAATACCCAGGACTCAGAGTTCTGAAGCAGGGAGTTTTGTTGTGGCATGTTGTCAATCAAGCAATTCTGCGTCAAACATATCTCTCACCACACTGACGACTAAAAGGCTGATTTAGTGTTGATTTCATAGTTATTACTTGTCGGTTGTGAAGGGTATTATTCACAGTGGGGGAATAAAAATAAAGGCAGTCTGCTGTGCCAGGCCGCTATGAATGAATGTTTAGAGGTGGCAGCACGTTGTATATAAGGTTGGTCTGTATGTTTGAATGAATGTCAGTGTGTTTGTGAGAAAGTGAGTGAAACAGATCAGCAGGAGACGAGGGAGAAATCTGATCCAGAGCTTGCATTTATGACTCAGGCCCATTCACCCAGGATGAGTTCTGCACAGGCACACACACACACACACACACACACACACACACACACACACACACATGCACACGCACTGTGAGGCTAATGGATATTGATCCAGGAGATGGAGACTGATTGAGCTTCCTCGGTAAAGGTTTCCTCCAGGCTTAAAGCTGCCAAGTCAGACGCAGAGCAAATGCTTAAGCCTTTCACTGTACAAAGCAGAATCCTGTGTTATGGGATGGAAGTGGACACATGCTTGCTGCATCATAGATCAATAGAAATGAATGGATGAAATTTGTGTTTGTTGTCCTTCGTGCTGCTGCTGTCTTGATAAAATAGATTTTGTTTTTACTTTGTACTTGACAGGTCGGTCAAAAACCTATTATAATAGAAAGTCAACCAACATTATATGAAACATGGAATTTTAACCAAAGCCTCCAATTGCCAACCACACCCCCTCATGATTTTAAAAGGATACTCCAGCAATTTAGTAATTCAGTAAAGTTGAGGG